AGCCGTCTACCACAGGTTTTTGAGCACACCACCTTTTTAGGCTATTTGTAATTGCTATCTTGATGCTATCTCCAAATAGAAGACAGCAGCCCTTACCACACATGATGCCGAATGTTTGTATCAGGTTGCCGTCAGTTGCCAACCCCGGATAAGAATTGTCGTCAGCTGATCAGCTATGTCGAGAGTTGCATCACTCCTATCATTTCGAAGTTTCGTGACCTACACCAACTTCAGCTAAGCAGTTAGGGAAAACAACGTCTTTAGCCCTGGAAATTACGCCCACTGTTTGGTAGATCTTGATAGTTGACCTTGGGATCAGCAGTTGGCTGTCAGGACCTATGCTATCATTACGTACTGTAAGGAGAATAAACAACATTATACTTAACATCAAACGTTGGATGCATTCAGAATATCTAGATAATCAATAATGGTGCCCAATGTTTGCGTATATACATCACGGGATATAATTTCTGCTAGGACCAAAAATCACAACAACGCCTTGGCAGGACCTCAGTTGATCACGGGGGCTATTTTGCATTTACGGGTGATTACTTCAATATCAGTGTATCCTTAGGGCAAAACAAACGACAAGTAAATAATTTGGTAGGCCTGAGATGTCATTTTACAGTAGACTATGTCGAGCTTTCGCTGCCGGCCGAATTACCGCGGGTTAGACCTGCAAAAAAAGCACCTCCCCAAGGGTAAAGCTCCAGCTACTTTTTTAAAATACAAAGATAACGAGAAAGGAAAAGTATCCGTAGTGCTAAGACTTGACCCTTCACAAACATGGCATCCAGATTCTAACGGTCACCCGTAGAGTAAATAGACGTCACAAGCCAAGTTACAGTGAGGCACAGTAAGAAGAGTTACAGGAGGCGAATCAGAGGAAACAGAAGCCTCCAGTGACTAGAGATAGAAGCACCATCCTAACAGGCGTTAATTACTCTTGAGAAACTACTTCATACACCTGTTCGTGTGATTCCCGCTTCTGTGGGGCCTGACTCCAATCATTTTGAAAACAGTTAATGGAGGAGATACGAGTAATCGTAGCAGATTATCGAATCATTCGCTGACAGACTATGGAGTTTCACAAATGTCACTTCTTACTTTGTTACTGTAACTCCTGGCGATTTACTGCTGTGCGACTTCGGCGGCTCAGTCATGCATAAATATGTTTCTAGCGCATGCAACCACATCAATAAATCCCGGTTTATATGAGTGCAAATATAACCACCCTTGTAATTTACGACGAACGTTTCGATGTTCACTTTATAAGGGAGTTAATGTTGCTGAGCTACAATTTTTTTGGTACGTACAACCGCAGAATGAGTGGCATTCGAATACATAGATGAGGGAAAACGAGAAATTAACCGTTCGAAAGTCTAAGATTCATATCTGGCATGATGAGAATTTGTGTCAGAAAAGCAGTTAGGGTGAAGAATGCAGTCCAAACATACCAAAGGACAGGCACAATTGGCAGAGTATGCAAGACAACCAGGGCGCACCAGGGCCTTTTCGTGCCAGTTTGATTACGTGAAATGAGCCAAAATCCAAGAAGGCTCAGAAGAATAGTGCACAAATAGGGTATAGCAATGAAGCAGGTGCCCAATATGGCTAACACGATTTCGCCCTGCCAAGAGAGAGCAAACAAAATTGAATGGACATTTTAACGTCGGGATAGTGACATTGTAAACACGTTTGGAAAGTAAAGTTGTTTCAGATAAGATTTGACTTCGTAGAAAAGGTTTCTTGCTTGGAAACTGAAGCAGCTTACATGGTTTAATAGTGAGCTAATTTATATGTTTGCAGGTTGGCTATTAGGTCATGCAATTGAAAACCTTTCCATTATTACCGCACGTCATTAGCTGTCGTTTCCGTCTATTTTGGGTCAAACAGGCACGCAAGATTTTCAGTGATAGCGATTGGGCTCAGTCGAAGTAGACATGATATGTCTAGACGTAGGCCTTTCAAATCGCGTAGTTCGACTATTATTAAAGGTTGTTAAAAGCACTGGCTAATTCAAAAATTACAACATGCAAATGCAGTAAAGTGGCCTTCGTGCGAACTTTTGTCAGAAGATGTGGGCTGACAAGACGTTTTTAAGAATTTTTCGAGTAGACTGAGATTATGTAAGTGTAGTAGTAATACTTATTTGGTTGAAACGTAGACATTGCATAATTAAACCACATCGTATTGTCCGCATTTTAATGCTCGACCTTTCGACCACCAGCAACATTTCCACTCGTGGAAATGTCTCTTTATGTAGTGCCTCCAGTTTACAAAATGTCTGAAATGTGTTTTAAGGTAGACAGAGTTAGTTAAGTTTAGTTGTGATCAATGAAAATGTCATATGCTGCATTTCGTAAACGACAGGAGGCTAGCTTTTGAATGCTTGTCTATGCAGCAACATGCACAAACCAAACTCGGTAAAATATGAATAAGTATGCAGAATTTCTTTATCTGGTAATTTTCGATTTCTCTATCAATGCAAACATACTGTAGAAATTCGGTAAGAAACCTGTATTTTGTTGTACCTATTCCACAGCCAATTTCGTATAATTCAAGTGCTAAAATTGAAGGAGTTCATCTTTTAATTTTCACATGTTTACAATTAAAAGATATTACAGACTTTGAAGCCTCCATCCGATGCCTTCATACAACCAGATGGATATGCATGCTTTTCTTTCCACGCAAAGTATTCAGCTTTTAGACTAAAAATCATAAACATAAGATCTTCCTGTTAAATAATCCTATTCACAGATGGTCCAGTCTTTGGTGTAAAAAGATTGTTATAACGAGATTCTTACAATTGTTCACTATTTATTCAAATAGGAAGGACAAACTGGATAAAGCATAGTCCAGAGGTAATTCAATCTAACCCTGGTGCTCGCTTATGATTCCATATCTTTCCGGCAGGCAGCAAAATCCAATATATATTCCTATTTTTTTATTATTTATCGCTTCCATGTATTTTAGGCCTCCCTGTAAATCCAAATATACTTTTTAAAAAGCGTGCAAAATATCCATCCTTGCCTTCATTTTGTTGGAAATTACTGGTTTTTGAACTTGTCTTTTCAATTTAACATTTCTGATTTTAAAATTTCTGAACTGACTTTTCCTATAGAATGATAATTTCCTATTTAAAAACGTTCCCTGTAACGCATACAGCGTGGTTCACTACCTCTGCACTGTGTTGCGAACCATATCTGGTACCTTAAGGGCCAAAACGCACGTATTATTATCCTGTTTCAGTTTTAATGTATCGCTTATATTGTGACAATCCTAACCGCAAGTCCATTGGTAGATCGAGCTAAAATTTGTTCGGAAATTAAAAAAACTCTTCAAATTGCAATAAACATTTTGCGGCGAAATAGAATTTGTAAGAAAGAACTTTCTATCACCTAAGTGCCACCTTCGCGCACGATTTCTATATAATCTGTATGAAATTAGAAAGCCATGGAAAATTCTTGAAAACAGTTATGCGCACACATTTTGGCGAGCAACAGTTATGCAAGCGGCCCGGAAGATGCTCAGTCAAATTTCGGCATCCCGGCTTGCCTTAAATAATTTTGGAATACGCTTAGTTGAAACGCCACACAGACGCTCATTTCTGATTAAAATTTCGTTTGAAAATAACGGTCGAACCTCCCATAGTTGTCGCTTACTTCTTTTTCTGACAGACATTTCTATAAAAGACTATGGAAAATGGGATCCTTACCTTTTTGAAGAAATTTACGGTCACGTATATGTCCAGTGTCAGGTCAAGGATATGCACTAGCGCCTCCATTCCTCCATAGATAAGGCATTTTCGTACACCTTTTAAATTTGTACAACGATCCGGATGCGCCTTGCAGTCGTCGTCCTCACCATTTGATTCGCTAGCAGAGTGCGCTGACTGAGCAGGCCCTTCAGATTTATCTAAAGGCATGATGCACGAGAGGTTTTCGTCTTCCTACAAATGGAAAGAAAACAAAAGGTGTAGTCCCCAAGCTTTTATTGTTTATAACTCAGAGTCGAAGTGCTTTAAACGGAAATTTCAGTAGCTGTACGGCTTCCAAACTTGAACGTTCACAGTAACTATTAGTGAGACCCGAGTAAACGTTTACAACAATATCCAACTATTGCCAATATAAGCGGTCATGTGAGTCCCAGAAAGTAATTAAGAAGAAGTCAATATTGGCTAAGATAAGGATAACAAAAAATAACAATAAACTCAGTTCTCTATCGTTTACGCAGTGACGAATAAGAAATATCAATTTCCTGCTCCATAGTTTATAAATTTAGTCAAAATTCACGTATGTGCACGTGATTTCAAAAAATAGAATATTTTCTATGAATATTCAGTAAAGAATTCTCACGCATTAACTTCGCCACTTACCTCGGTATCAGGGGACGATGGCCCAGCATCCTCTTCGACTTCATTCATAAATGGGATGTTCGAGAACTTGTCCATTTCCTTTAAAAAGGTTAGAAGACAAAAATGAAAAAAATAGGTGGAATTCAATCTAAAGATGGCATAATCGTCCCTCAATAGGCTATTTTTTATAACCTGGGAAAAAATTTTAACTGCGTTTTTAGAATCTATACTATTTCTGCTTAACTGCATTTTTAGAATCTATAGCATTTCTGTAGTCCAATATTCACGCTGACGTCTGGCGAAACCTCGCCATCTTGTGCCCGCACGCCTGTCTGCCGCCATGGCCGACTTCGACCGTATGCTTCAAATGTGAGCCACGTCCGTCGACATGGTCCCAAAGCCGTCAAAGGTGATTAGCTTCACTTTGACAACTACAGAAACTTGCTTAACGTCACCATCCCTGACCGATGGCTCTTAAAGCCTCCTGCCGATTTTGCCAGTGACTCATATGGCAAGTCTGATCTCACAAAGATCGACCTGGTGCGTGCTTTCCACCAGATCAAACTCACCCAGCAGGACATTTCAAAGACGGTCGTTAATACTCCATTTAGGATCCTCGTCTTCCCATACATGCCGATTGAACTCTACAATGTCTCTCAAACTTTCCCGAGGTTAATAGACGAAGGTATTCATTTTGCATAGGCCCATATTGACTTCGTGTTCATAGTCAAGTCCATCACCAACGACCACATGGGGCATCCCGTAACAGTGTTCGACGCCTTCAGCAGCCAGTTTAAGTACATCTTCGGCGTTCGCTCACTCAATTTTCTGGGTCACCTGGTCGACACCAACAGCATCCATCCTCTCTCTTCAAAAAGTTAGACCATCTGTGAATTCCCAACTTCTTCTCAGCTGCAACGATTTTAGACAGGGTGAACGTCTACAGTCGGGTCTTCCCTAACTGTGCCGACACCATTTTCCTGCTGAAGGCTCTCTTCTCGGGTGCCAAATGGTCTTCCGAGCTATCCGCAGACACCCTTGCTGTTTTTGGGAAGACCAAGATTGCCCCGACCGATACCACACTCCTGAGGCATTAAGCCCCCGATTATCTCATCTCCCACATGGTTTAAGCCTCAAATAATTTAGTCAGCAACGTCCTTCAGCAGCATCTGACCGATTTGACGTACCCCTTAGCTTTCATATCAAGAAAATTAAAACCAAACAAATCATGGTGCAATATATTTGGGTGGGCGTTTCATGCTGTGTAGTTCGCCATAAAAAAATTCCGGTAATTTCTTAACGAAAGGGAATTCACAAACCCCTTTCTTTCCACTCGAAGTTAAATTGAGTTAAGTTTAACCCCCGAGAGATGCGCCAACTGGGCTATAACTCTCAGTTCATCTGATATGGTAGAAATTTACTTTACTTCCCAGAAATTGTTTAATTAATTTAACGTCTTCGCAACAAAAATGAACTTAGAAATTTACTTACTTGCATTTGTTACTTACTTATAATTTATTTATATTCAGTTTTAGTTTATTATTGTGCTTTATTAATTTCATTATAGTTGTAGATTTCTTTTTTGTTTACTTATTTTAGCTTATTGGACATAACCTTTGCTTCTTAAGTTTAGTTAGGTTTTAGTTTACTTTTAAATTTAGTTTTAGCTTTATTAGTCACATGCGACTGCTTTTCATGTTAAAAGTTTCTCTTGTTCACTTTAGCTTAGTTTAGTTAATTTGGTTTGTTTAACTTATTTATATTTTAGTTGAGTGTTAAGTATAGTTTTCAGTTCATTATTATTCTTTATTATTTTAGTTTTAGATTAGTTTTTAGTTAAGTGAGTTTAGCCCATTTAAGTTTATCCTTCTTTAGTAAGTGTACTTTAGTTTGCCGTTTAGTTTTAGGCTTATGAGTGAACTGCAGTTCTGTTTTATTTTCTATATATCATTACTTTAATATCGGAAATTCATACGCTTTTTGTGTGTTTCCGCGAAGTTGAGCAGTTCCCAATACAGTAGTCGCCGGCTATTAAGCCCACCTCGGGCCTAGACCAAATTGGGCT